TTTGTTGCTATTACATTATTGAGACATCGAGTGAGTGCACCACCACCGCACCACAAAGTATGAGCAGAAGCCGCGCCCAAAGCCCGGGCCCCGGTAACGTGAGGTAGCCGAGTCGGGGCAGCGTGCACTGACCCAAGCCGGGGCCGCGGCTTTGGGCGCGGTCTACCGCATCCCCGCGGGCAGCCCCGGGCTATCACATGACACCGGGAGGACGCGCGGCCCCGGCTTGGGTCAGCGCACGCTGCCCCGACTCGGCTACCTCACGTTACCGGGGTCCTGGCTTTGGGCGCGGTCTACCGCACCACCTAACAGGCGTGTTCGAAACCGCAGGAGATGATGATGAACGGCTTTATCGAAACTTGATTGGATGAGCCTATCGGTAATAGCGATTTTGGTGTGTGCATTTATTGTTCATAGTGGTGTGAAATGTGGTTGGGGTACGACCGACAACCCGTCGGGGCGAATTTCGCACTGGGGTACTCAAAATTTGAAGAATTTAAGACGTTTCCATGAGTTTTGAAGGTATGGATAAGTTCTAAAAATCCGGTTCTCCTTATCTGGGCCATTAACTCCATACGGTCCAGGAAAGCTGGCACACTACCTTTAAGGTTATTCCCGACGCCAAAATAACAGTTTTCATACTTCCCCTATTGACTTACCCCGCGTTCGATGTCTCTCGGACGGCGAAGATTCTACGCCGTCCGGCCAATCACGTTCCAGAACCGCAGCCGAGCCCCCGCTGACCTTGGACGGGATTGGCCGGACGACGTAGAATCTTCGTCGTCCGAGAGACATCGAACGCGGGGTTAATGTTGAGGTCACATGACCGACCTGACTTCATGTGACCTTTAGGAAAAATCCGAGATACATAAGATGTGAGACCTCTAGATGACAATAGGTCCCGTAAGTTTCATCTTCCTGTGAAAGCTTCTTGGACTTTGAGGGCGTTGCAAATTTGCGACATTTCAGGACCGTGCAGAGGTTCACATATCCCGCGCCCCGTACGTAGGGCTATCGGCGGACCCTATCACCCGTAAGGGGGGGGGGGCGTTTCGGCCCCCTTAAGATCTCCTTACCTTACCTTACCTTACCTTAGTTGGTCATCGGGTTATAAGGCCACTCGGCCTATGGGTCCCGCTCATATCGAGTGAAAGGCATAATCGGAGAGGCTATGGTCCTTAGTATCTCGGAAATTTACCGGCCGATTTTCAAAATTCAAACGGCGTTCGATAGCCCCACCGGGAAGCTACCTATTTCGACCAAAGTTCATTGACCTAGGTCAAACCGATGACGTCACAGGTCAGGTCAAAGGTCGGATTTTCACCGTTCACAGTCATTTCAAGATATGTGTTGTGAAATCGAGTAAATTGGTAAGTTATTGAAAACCATCGATGGTACATTGTTCGTCAAACATAGACTTTGCTATCTGAGGTCACTGATATCAGGTCAGGTCACAGAGGTCAGGTCACTGGGGGTCACATTATGAAAGTGTCGTGTGATACATGTTTTATGGTCCATTTTACATGACAAATGCGATTATGTGGGTTAGGCAGCCTTTGGGGCCAGCTTAGGTCACGTGTTGGTGAAGGTCAGGTCAAGGTCAGGTCAAATTAGGTCAAATTTCAAAGTTGATATTTTTGCATTAAATGGGTGTTGATTCGATGCAGCTCGTCACTGGGAGTCTAATGGTGGTGGTCTTTGTTTTGCCCTACGTGGTCTAGAATTGCCAAAAATTGAGTTTGAAAGTTTGACGTCATCATTTTTGAACATTTTTTTTTCGCTATAACTTGGCCAAAAAACGAGACAGGTACGATCTGAAATTTGGTATGTAGATAGAGGACGGTGGGTATTATCACATATATTCCGTTTTTTTCGAAACTCAAAAAACTTTTTGGATTTGTTGGCTTTTATATAAAAAATGTTTTTTTGTTTTTTGGGGGTATAAACTCAAAATTTCAAAAATCCGAGATAGCAGTTTTGTAGCCCTTTCAATTCTACACCTGCTATGTCTTGATCTTTTTTTTTTTGTATCTTCAAAGTTGTAGGTAGGCCTGACAGCTCTTCTCGCGAAGGTCTTTTTCGGTCGAAAATTACAGAACATGACGTCATTCTGACGTCATTTGTGGCCAACCTATCATAGCTTCTGGATTTTTTTTTGTCACAATGTGTAAAATGGATGCCCGGAGAGGTCCGGAAAGTTTGGTGGCGATATCTCCAGCCGTTTAGGAGATATCGATGAAAAAGGACAGGGGGGGGGGGGCACGGGGCGTGGGTTATGACGTCATAGGTCAGTGACCTGACCTGGCCTGAAAATGTGGTTGATGTCAAAAGACTAGGCTTGAATCAAAGGTCAGCTATGTCAAGTTTCAGCTCTCTATCTTCGGCATGTTCCGAGCTGTCGCGAAAAAAAAAAACTATGGGTGGCACCCCCTCCCCATCCCCCTAGGCCAGCGAAAGTTAACCCGCGCATGACTGGGGTATTTTCCATAACGCGAGTGGCTCGGGGGGTACCTAAACGATTTCTCGAATTTCATTGATCAAATTTTAACCTACAACTAGCATAGGATAAGGTGTGTACACACTACACACTTACCTACACTGCAAGTTTCACGCATCTGACTAAAAGTAACTTTTCAGGTAAGGGATGTAGGGAGAACAGAAATAAAGGGGATGGATTGCCACCCCTGAGGATCAGCACTCGCAGACGATTGGCGGGCAAATGTTTAATTTAAATAACACACGGGATGTGTCCACTAGCCACACGATCTAATTTATCACGATCTACAAAATGAAGGTATCACGATCTATAGAATGAAGGTATGTTTATTTTGGCATTGATCCGAAATGTGTGCCGTTGTAAATGAAGCGGTGTACCGTGCATTACTATGCATTTCAGACCCCATGAGACCCTGTTTTTCGGCGATAATTTCTTCAATTTTTGTCCAATTAGCTTGAAATTTTGGCAGACGATGTTTCAGCTCAAGCGCCAATTTTTGTCAATATGGTCTCTTAACAAAATATCAAAATTTAGAGCACTTGTCGTTGGCTCGTAATGTTAATCAGTTTTTGCACCCGGATAGAGGCTCGCTCGCTACCGCACCGGATTGGATAGGAGCGCTGGCCAATCACGTTACGCCGTGATCAACTTGACTCCGCCCACTGGCCGTGACCACGATGGGTCTATGCCGCTTCAGTCGGTGTCAGCACCACGGAGAGGTCGGAGCGGGACCACATACTGGAGACACGTGAAGCTGGCAAAGTTGTTTCGGGACGAAAGCCAAAAAATTATCCGTTAGAGGGCATTTGCTGTCCTCTTTTCCTTATTTTGGTATTTAAACGTCGAAGATCAGAATCAAGGTAGGATCTATTGGAACGGAACCGGCCGTAGAAGGAAAGATAGATGAACTCTTGGACTCTGAACATCTATTTAAGCCGGAGTTGCACCTATCTCATCGTCAGGTTGGGTCAGGTCACTACGCGATTACCTATAAGATCATGCGTAATCCTCTGCCTGACCCAAAAATATTGATATATTTGACAGCGTCAATAAATGTTTCTGAGGAAGGCGCAGAAAGCAACAAAGTTAGATGAAGAGTCTCGGACACGGTCGATTGCCTGGGGCATCGCTCCAGCGAGACGATCGTATTCGTGATTCGTCAAGGGCGGTGCGGGGCGCCGGGTGGGGCAGAAGCGTGATGTGTCGTGTGGTAGAATTGTCCTTTATCGTTGTGTGTGTTATATTATTAAGACATGCACAGAAAGAAGTAGGAATGTGGCAGGCGGACGTTGTGCACTTCACGAGAACGATCATCAAGAAACAAGTATCTTTTTGTAAAACTTATGTAACAGTAGGACGTAGGTATGTCCTCAATGGTGAGGTAACTATTTCTAGGCTTTTACTTTTCATGTTTGCATTTCAACACACAAGATCTGGGGGTAAAGTTAGTCCGGCGACCTCCGCAACCTAAGTCGATGATAAAATGGATTAGTCCTGAAGGTGTTCAATGCTTATGCTGCACTGGGATGATATAAATCGATCACGCCGGCATACATTCCTAATCAAATTTAATATATCAAACACATAAACTGCATCCTATTAATGGTGATTCTATTTTGCAATTTGGACGTAGTCTGACGCGATACATAATATTATCGCAAGCATTTGAAATCAACAGCGTCTTTTATGAGCGTTTTTTCACAAGCCCCGAATCTTGTGTGGAAATAGATATTTTTTTTGTGACTGAACAAGGTGTACGTACATTTGTGATAGATACAAAGTCGAGGGCTTCAGCTAGTGCGTTACTTATGCGCGCTTTTTAGCTCATTCGATGAAGTTACGGCTGCAACGACAACTGCACGGCAGCTACGTTCCATGCGAGCCGCCCCGGTGCAACAGCCCGCTCCACGCACTGCCTCGCCCGCTCCACGCAGCCGACTGACCGGCCAAGGTCACCGCCCCGTCCGCCGGGAGGGCGGAGCTTAATGATCACGTGTTTGTGACGTCACGCCTACGTACGGATAGCCTCTACTCCACTGACGGATTTACGGAGCCGATTTTAACATTACGAGGTAACGACAAGTGCTCTAAATTTTGGTATTTTGTTAAAAGACCATATTGACAAAAATTGGCGCTTGAGCTGAAACATCGTCTGCCAAAATTTCAAGCTAATTGGACAAAAATTGAAGAAATTATCGCCGAAAAGCAGGGTCTCATGGGGTCTGAAATGCATAGTAGTGCAGTATGGGCTATGACACCGCCCCTCAGGTCACAATATTCTCTCCAGTTTCGAGTCCAACTCGCATTCACCGCCCAGGCTACGGACAAGATCGGCACCATTCGCCGGCCCAGTTTTCTCAGCTCGTGCGAGTGAGACGCCAGGTCCAGCAACAGCAAGCTCCTCGTGCATTTGTCGACACGCGAGAGAGCTGCTCCCGTCCCGTTATCTTTAAGTAGTTTTCACGACATCCGCTGGGCGGCGCTAGTATCGCCTGGTAGCGCCACTCGCCGCGGCAGTCAGCTGACTGGCGGTACGATAGCGTGTCCGCCCGGCCGGCCGCGCCGCCCGCCCGTCCGTCCGTCCGCCCTGCCGGCCCGACGCGACCGTCGTAGCGTCAGTTCCCGCGCGAGCGTAGCGGTATGTGGGGTGGTGCCGTGCGGCAGGTGGTCGCGGCCCGGGGCGTGCCCTCGCGGCCCTGTGTGAGAATGTGCGTGTTCGTGGCCGTGTTGGTAACGCTATGCGTGGGTGTGAGTCATGCTCAAACATCGGTGCCGCCCCCGGGTGTGGGCGAGGTGGTGTATTCAAAACCCCAACTCAACACCAGTTACCGGGCGTCGACTGAGTTCGACCCGCAGGGCATGGAGCACCTCTACTACGTCACAAACATGTTCCTGGACGTGATCCAGAAGGATGACGTCGCTGCACTCGGTGAGTTGAGCTGAGTTGAGCACGGGAGTTACCGGAGTTGAGCTCCGCGGTCGGGGAGCTGAATGTAGCTGTCACAGTCTCTATTCTACTGTCGGCCATGGGTGCGGATGTGAGTCGAAACACGTCAAATAGCAGACCTGTCTCCCCTCCTTGCCCCTCTCATGGTACTTTCTCCATGCATGCATATGACTGACACATGTTCACCTGCTGAAAAACGAGAATATTGTCCTTGTGAGGGCCTATTTCATGCTGCTAAAACATAGGACAGGCAGTAGGCACATTTAAAAGAGTGCTCTGCTTCTTATACATTTATACCTGCAATGGCGGAGATGTTCCAGGAAGGGGCAGATTATCATTTTTTTTTAGCTGAAAAGTGAATCTAACCTCCCGTTTGCCTGTTGCGCCGATTCTCTCCCAGGCCGACCTCGGCCGGCATCACCAAACTCCAATGCTGTTTGCTGCACCCCACCATTTGTGAAGGCCGTCACCGTGTGGCCGGCAGGCCCCTGCACGAAACGTCCGGCGTGGCCTCGGCCCTCGACAGTCGCCAGCTCTCCCGTAAAAACAGATCCCACCCCTACCTACCATCACTGCATCCGCGACCACTGCGCAGTATCCACTGCACGCAGTGCACACTGCCTGCATTGCACAGACAGTGCACTCAGTGCAGCGCGCAGTGCACCGTCGCCTTGCATCCCATGCAACTCTGTTATCTGTCTGTCTGTGGTGAGGTGAGGATGGGTGGTCGGGGGATCTCCCTCTACCGCAAAATATCTCGCCACCTCCGCTTCCGCGGACCTAGCAAGGTACGGAACGTGAAACTGAGACGAGAGCCATACGGCTGAGTGTCACGAGCTGCTAGTTACATAAGTATTACGTCGCGAGTGTCACGAGCTGCTAGAGGCTCCTGAGCTGTAAGCTTGAGAACTTTTTATATCCCAGCCATGAACCTTCAATCCGAGAGTTTTAGCTAAGACGTTTGCTAGAGCTTATGCGCCGAGCTCCGATCCACGGCCTCCGAACGCTGGGCTGAGGGACCCTACACCTTGTCTATAGGGATCAGACTCACGCTCTACCCATTATTCCTTATTGCTATTCCCATCTGGCCCAGTGAGCGGTAACCTTATTGGCCTGGCGAGCCCCCTATGGGACTATGGGAGTCCCTCGCATCCTCCCATGCCACCCTACCCAGCCTCCACGGTTCCCATGAGTCATAAGGAAAATATAGAGCCGAGGACGCTACAATATGCGTATGGCGTGACGGACATGATTGCTGATAGAGACGGAATTGTCCTGATACTTGGGTATGGACTGGTTTCCTGCTAGGAACTTGGCCGTCTATTCCTTGAAATGGGCCCTCGAGCTCACTGGCAAAAGTAAAAGCACTTTGGATATTGAGAAGACTGATATTTTCACAATTCTCCACCTCCTATATCCCGGCTGTCACGCCAGAGTTTGTAGCGAGCCATTCACCCAAAACCTCTCCCCCTCACCCCTCCCCTCAGCGTGAGCCGGCCCGTCTAACCACAGACCAGTTTCAACGGTAAAAACGGCGCCGCCTCGTGCTGGTCAGAGCTCTCCTGGCTCCGTGCCTCGATGGGCAGGTGCTCACCGCGCGGCCAGAGATGGGACCGGCTGGATGGTGCTCAGAGACCGGCATTAGAGGCAGACTCCCTGACCGAGATACGGTGGAATGGGAGCACGGGGATGTGATGGGCCACGGGCACGACTGGTTGGGTAACCGGGATGTGAGTTTAGGCTCATGGGCTCTCCGAAATATTGATCGTAAGCTACCAATATAACGTAGTATCGAGGAGGAGGCATTGCTTTTTATAGGAAATTATACGCCAAAGCCAGTAAACTACTATGGACGTCAAGCCCCTTGAGACCCCACTTTTTTGCGATAATTTTTAAATGCGTCAACTCTCGTTGATAATATTCTGGCATTGTGTGTTTCAGAACCTGCCGAAACTTTTATTACTAAGGTATTTTGACGCCAAACGATTATGAAAGGTACTTCTCATTCACTCGTAATGTTAAATTTCACGGAACGAATATGCTGTTTGGGTAGAGGCTACGCGCTCATGGGGCGGAGCCACGTAATGACGTCAGCGCTAAGCTCCGCCCTACCCCTCCGGCGCTCCTTGCTCGGCGACCGGTCACTCGCGTCTCTCGCTCCATTCAGGCTTGATGGTGGGCGGTAGCTGGTAGCGGTAGCGGGCGCTGGTAGATGGCATTTAGAGCAGATGGCGCTGGTGGCGGGGCTCGAGTGTGGCCGAGCGCAAGCCTCTGCCCGGGCCTGAATTGACCTTAGCATTACGAGTGAATGAGAAGTACCTTCCATAATCGTTTGGCGTCAAAATACCTTAGTAATAAAAGTTTCGGCAGGTTCTGAAACATACATTATCAGAATATTGTCAACGAAAGTTGACGCATTTAAAAATTATCGCAAAAAAGTGGGGCCTCAAAGGGTTTGACGTTCATAGTAGATGCCGCCAGCGCTCGTGCGTTGCCTTGGGCCAGAATTGGAGGATCCATAGCCAAATGAAATGTGCATGATTTTGGAGGCCTTGCCTGGGACTACCATTGAACCGATTTTGAGGTTGATAGCTTAAAATTTATTTGAGCCAGGGGACCTCACGTCAAAACGGTTTTCCGACCCCAGCACGTGCAGCCTGCACCCCTCGCAGACGGTGACCCCCCTGGAAACTGGTTCAAGGTGTTACCGATGTGTCCCGCCAGTATGGCTTTGCCCGTGACCTCGGGTTGACCTGTAGCCTTGACAAAAAATTTAGTGTCACCGAAACTTTGAAGCGGAATAGCATGTGCCACGAAGCACCGAGCGAACCGAGGCCAGCACCAAAAGTTTACCTCGCCGGAGACGAATCAAACGGTCCCACTTTCGTCCCGATCAGTCCACCCATTTTGACTCCAGGTCCAAAAAAGCTTGGACAAACTCACTCACATACTCACATACTCACTCACTGACAAACAGGTTCAGCCGAGGGCCTTGGTTCAGCCGAACTTTTTTTCAGCGACCCACCAATGGGAATTTCCGGATGCAAAAGCATGCTATCGCATGCTTTTGATCCTCCAATTCTGGATTGATTTCTTTTTCAGTATTCTGTTTATGTTTGGGTATAGGTAATCAAGAAGCTACACATAGGACAAATTTTGAAACTATGACTTGTCGCCCAAAATTTCTGGTTTGTATTTCTTCCTCCCATTCGAGCATTATTGAGGAAAACACGATATGCTGTTAACGTGATGATGAGCAGTTATGATACAGAGCATCGTTCAAAGATGATTACTTAATTTTTAACGTCCTAGGGTTGTGCTGAGTAGTATTCCACTTGTAGGCTCATCGCTTGTCGACCTTTCAATAAGTGAATGAACACTGGATGCTCATTGCTTATGTATTGAACCTTAGACTAGAGCAAACAAAGTCATGTAATGTACATTGCACCCTTTCAATGCTGCACTGCCATCCCACTGCAGACTCAACAAACTATCCAATCTCATTCTTTCCCTCCTCCGTCTTCGACGTTGGAGAATATCCACCGAACTGCGGTCCGAATGAACGTAGCCCACAAATCGACAAAAACCGCTGAGCTAAGTGAGAGCCGCTCCATCAATTTTCATCATCAATGGCCGCGCTATCAATATTCGTCCGCAGGCCCGTGGAGCTGAGCATCACACATCATTTTCAGAGCTGGTGCAGGCAGCTCCACTGAAAAGGCTTTTCAGCGTCGTCTGCGCCGAGCTCGGTTGAGCTCGGATGAGCCTGGGTGACCGCCGGCCGGGGCCGCGGTCACGGATGGAGACTGGGGCGGTGTTTAGCTGAGCGGATTTAGCCAGCTGCGTTTGTATGACTTTGGCTCAGCTGGTTGAGGGTGATGAGAGCCATACGAGGTGTGGGAAGACTGGGGAGATGGCTGGACACCAGTTGCGGCTAACTTATCGCTGTGGTAATGGCTGGTGCTCTCTGGAACACAGTTTTGTGGTTGAAGTTTTGAAGCTTTATGCTCGACCAGTGGACACTGCATATAAACGAACGTTTATGCGTACAGAGGCCATGGTTTCCCTCACAGGCCATGGTTACCTTCAGAGCCCACCTCCAGAGGGCATGGCTACCCACCAGAGGCCTCGGTTACCCGAGAGTCTGTGGTTTTCTCAGGCCATGCCGCCGCGGCTCGGAATCGTCCCCGATTGTCGCGTTCACTGTTCACCGTTAGGTCGGCCGGCACAGAGCTCCGAGTCACGCCCGTGCTAGCGGTGACGCCGGACACGCGGAGCACGAGCATGGGACACGGGATACCGGGATACCGGATACGGGGACACAAGTGTGGACAGTGGAAACATTGACGGTATACCGGACACCGGTGCGGAAAATGTTTGTTTTGAGTGTACTTCTGTTTCCGCTTAGGCCTTATTTCGCTTTGGTGGGCTCGCTTATAATGGAAATCCCGTGCAGCTTGATTATGCCGTAACGCCATTTCATATCAGCTGGCGTGCGCCGAGCAAACGGTGTCGTGCCGCCTCAGATAAGGGATATTTGCTTCATAACTGCCATCGTGGTATGCAGATACCACATGGTGGACAAGTGCCGTGATTGAGATTGGCCGCCCTCACATATGTGGCACGTGGGTCTGTATACGTGCCACGCATTCAGTTCATCTCCTAGCTACGTGGCGGGCTCAGCTCATCTAAGCTCACGTACCACGTGCCTCACACACGTGCTCCATAAGCTCATAAGCCAGCGGATCAGCGCGTCAAAGTGTCGCGACCACGTGCGCGCCTCTGACCTGGCATTTTACCAGAAGGGTGCATTGACCCGTGACACTGGTAATGATGATGGCAGGGGTGATGATAATTGTAATTGCAATTGCGGTGATGGTACTGGGATAATCGCTCAGACAACTGCACAGGGGATTAGAAGCTACTTAGCACAAATATTACGATATTACGAAATTTTGACTTGCCTGCCGCCACTAGCAGAC